GTGTGTGTGTGTGTGTGTGTGTGTGTGGCATGTCAGTTTATTCCTGTTTTAATTGATTTGAGTGTTACAATAAAAGATTGTGGAATAGCTTCATAGTAATAATATTTTGCCCGCTGCCTCCACGACCCGAGCCTGGAGAATCAGAAGACGGATAGATAATAATAATCATAATAATAATAATATACAGGTGTAAAGCAGCTGGAAATCAATAAACTAAATAGTCAGCGAATAGATGAAATGTTTGAAAGTTACAGATAAATGGTGAAACATTTCTTAAAGAGCATTCATTCATTCATATCTTTCTTTCTTTCTTCTCGGAAGCTTCTTTCCTGTTTAATCTCACTGGAGGTTATATGTCTTGACTCCAGCTGGTCACAACTGCAGCTTCCGTGTATATATATATATGAAAATCCACATCCTGGAGACTGAACGTACAGAGGACTCCCTGGGGAAATATTTGTTTTCATTACGAGGGAGACGTCTCGCTTCTGTCCGATCTGATTGATTTTGATTTATCACAACAGGCACAGGAGGAAACTCTGCCATTTAAAACCTGCTAACGTTAAAGGACCAGAGAAATTTTCATTGTTTCCCAAACTGTGTATTTATCTGTGTGGTCGCTGTGGTTTGAGTGTTTGTCGCTCAGTGCGCAGACACTCTAACCACAGGAGTCACAGTAATTCTCTCTTTTTTCTCCACTGCTGGTTTAATTCAGTTGCATTCTGGGTTTTGAAACTTTGGGTACACGAGACGTTTCTTTACTTGCTGCAGTAACTTAGATGGATCAAATGGGAAGTTTCATTTCCATGCAGGCTCTGAGTCATTTACGAAATCTGGCGTGAGCAGCTGTTTTTAAGAATGAAAAAGTAGAAGTAGAGGGGTTTCGGACCAGCTCACCTCCGCTTCTCTCACACACACTGTGACTCACGGGTCCTGAGAGGAAGTGGCAGGCTGCACCTTCTGCCCTGACGTCTTTACTGTGGTCTGCAGCTCTGTGTGTGTCTGAAATGTGTTTGTCTCTGGACAGGAACAATAATGGTTATGAAGTGTTGGCAGCGGCAATAACAGGAAGTCACTATTGCAGTGACTTGATATATATTGGTGTCCCGGAACACAAGAACAGGGTGTCATTCTCGTTTTTATAGTGGGACTTCCTGTTGATTGATCTTCAGGGTTTGAGTGTGGACACCGCAGCAGAAAATGGAGCAGAGCTCGTGCACGGAGGATCGAATCCAGCACGTCCTGGAGCGCTGCCTCTGTGACCTGGGTCTGGACACTCCGGACAAACAGCTCTGGAACGGTAAGACCCCCCCCCACCCCCTCATCCCATGATACCTGCTTATAATGCTCAGATAATGCAGAACATTAAATAACCGGGAACATGTTGTCCATCATGTAGAGTGAAATGAGAAGCGAAAGTCAGATGAGTGAGAGACAGCATGGAGGAGTATCATTACTTCATATCTTACTAATGCTCGATTACGTCTTCATTAAGAGCTTTGGCAACATGGTGTGGTGTAATCATCTGTCCTGTCTTTGTTAAAAAGTATTTTGTTCATCCGTCATCGGAATCAAACCTCAAAGGAGAAATAAGCACGGTTGTCGTTTTTTTTCGTGTGTCTGTCTTATAGCTGGGCTGTGCATGAACCGCTGGTGTTTGGAGGAACTTGTGAAGCGAAATCCCCACAACTTCCTTATCCTTCTGCAGAAAATACTGAGGAAAACAAAAGAGGTACTGGACAAAACAAGTTTGACCTGATTTTTCAAACGGCTCGGTGCGATGTGAGGAAACATTTCCAGGGTTTTCTCTGTTTTTCAGGTGCTGGAGCGCTCTCAGTATGAACTGGTGGTTCCCCTCTTGCTCTTGTTCTCTTCAACCCTCCTAAAAGTGAGTGGCTGTAGTTAAAAAACAAGCACCGACCACTGGGGGTATTCGTTTCATTGCATTATAGAATATTTCTTTTATTCTAGTGCTTTGTTAACGTCTGTGTCTTCCTCAGGCTCCGTACGTGGCTCCAGACTGTGACGTTATGCGGGAGGCCTACCTGTTGTTCCACAGTTTTCTGTCCTGGCCTGAGCCGTGCAGCTCCGCCAGTAAACGCCTGCTGAGCGTCATGCAGCAGGAGCTCAGAGCTCCAGGTACGTTCTTGAAGGGCACTTGTTAATCCAGGGAGAGGCCGAGAGCAGTGACAAGATTATATCAGGAAATCTAGTAGCAGAGAAGGACATTTAGCGACAGCAGGAAAGGTAATAACTGGTTTTCTCTGTGTATCATTGTGATCATATCGAGCTGGTGTTTTATTTTTGGTGCAGGTATTTCATTTCAGAGAATGGTGAGGGCAGAGCAGGGGTTTTCCTCCGAGATCCACAGCTCTAAAACCATGTGAGTAGCCTCAGACTGTCATTAACAACATTATCTGCCTGCCTCCTCTTCCTCCCACTATCTGTTGATGAAGATTCCACGTTTTTATAGCATCAAATAACTCAGTTATTTATTTATTTACTTATCACACTTATCTTTGCCTTGTTGCATCTACACCCTGAGTTCACTTTAACGACCTGAATGTGTCTTCGTAAGGACGGTACTGTTAGTGAGTCCAGAGGAAGACGTCCCTCCCGAGGTCCAGTCCGTCTCCGAGCAGCTGAGCAGCACCCAGTCCTCCAACAGAGACGTCCTCACCACCCTCATCCAGCACGGCTTCCAGGCGGTTCTGGGCAACAAATACGAGCTGCAGGCTCTTCACGCCGCCCTGCAGGTGACTGAACAGCACCGGGCACCTCTGTACCACTTCTTCTTTTTCTTTTAAATCCATCCTGAAACAAACGTCCTGTTCCTCCAGACGAAGCGGACGGAGGAGCTGGAGCGGCTCCTGCAGGAAGTGACCGAGAACATGCAGATGGCAGCGTCGGCAGCAGATTTCAGCACAGCGAGGCAGAGGCTCCTGAACAACATGGAGAGGATCAGAGAAGGTCTTGTTCCTGTTCCGGCTCGTGGCTGCACAAACACCGGTGAGACAGAAACACAGAATATCATGGTGGTAGATAAACCTCAAATCCAACCATCACTGATCTCAAGCTTCTTTAACCAACCCCCTCCTCTCTTCAGGGTCGGTTGAGACGTTCGTGCTGCCCGTCCCCAAATGTCGCACGTGTACCTGGGAGAACGACAACTTTGGTAATTAGTTTAAACAGCTCCTCATGTCTGCATCGTGTATCGGAGATTTATCTTGAACTTTAAAACTCCTCTTTCTTCGTTCACGCAGACTTTCTGAATGAAATCCTCACGAGCGAGTCGGACCTGGATTCGACTGCCGACTGTTTCCTGAAAGCAGAGATAGACGAGGACGATAATAACGACACCAGTGTGGATGAGGAAGAAGAGTTGGAGGGAAGCAAAGCGGACCAGGAGTTTCCAAACCACCGCATCTCCACCACGTCCTCGTCCTCCAGGGACTCCATGTTTTCCTGCTACTCTCTCTCCTCCGGCTCGTCCTTGCCGTCCGCCTCATCCGGCGTGGAGAGTGACTTGAGCGAGGACGCAGGCCACGAGGAGGAGGGACAGGACAGCCAACCGAAACCTAGGAAGAAACCCAAGAAGAAGTCCAGGTCCCTGTTAGGCGTGGAGCGCATCTCCATGCTTTTCAAGAACCCCCGCAGCCCGAGCGCTTGCCGCCGAGCCCAGAGCATGGGTTATCGCAGAGACTTCACCAAAGACGTTCAAAGAACCAGGACACCACTCAAATACTCCAGGTCCCTGTCCAGACAGGCGTCCAATGATACCGCCAGTCCTCCTTCCCCCCAGAAGCACATGTGTGTCCGCAGGAGACCGATCCTGAGCTGTGACGAGGGCGACGTGGCAGAGGGGCCCACCCTGGTCAGAGTGGTGGTGTTCGGAGGGGACAGAGAGGCCGGCAGGCTGGCCAGGGCGTACAGTGACCTGCAGCAGAAAGAGTGCAAATGTCCCAGACTCACCAAGATGTGCAAACTGCAGTTTTACTTTGTCCCCACCAAAAGGAGAAGTACGCGGCGCTCAGGAGGACACGCGCCTGTTGAAGGCCAGACAGGAAGTTCAGCTAGAGCTGCCGTGTCTGTGGTGAGACCGAGCGACGTCTCTACTGATTCAAACTTTAAACCATTGATAAAAGCAGCCTCATCATAATACAGACAGTCGTGTAAATCGTCACAGGAAAAGTCGTTAAAACCTTTTTGTCCCTTCACTCTGACAGGAGTCTAATGGCGCCGTATTGGAGGACAGTACGACACACGTAGCCCAGATGTTGGGCGCGATGGATCCCTGGTACGAGCGCAACGTCCTCAGTCTGCTCAGCCTGTCCTCTGACGTCCTCTGTCAGGTACGCTCCGGTTCATACATTCAGAGGAAACTAAAGAGAACTCGTCGTGGTTTGAGCTCGGAAACTTAAACTGTGGAAAATGTTTCATTTTCTTGCTTCATGTGTATTAATGTGTAATTTCCTCTGTGTGACTCAGACGGGCTGTAAGGACGCTGACGTCTCAGAGGGAAGCAGCAGCGGGGAGCGTCTTTCACTGCTGGCCCAGCTGGTGCTTTATTATTGCAGACATGCAGACCAGCCTGTTCTGGTGCCGCTCTACCAGGCGGAGGTGGGACACACACACACACACACACACACACTGACACTCTAGTGAATACCTGTGTGACGACCCATCACTGCTGACTCACCTGTCTCTTCCTCTGCAGCTCACCCTGGCTGGAGGAGATAGGAGAAGGGAAGTGTTTGTTCATTCTCTGGAGCTCGGGCACTCGGCTGGAACCAGAGCTGTTAAAGCCATGGG